GATGGACATACTCTAAAAAAAATCATTTATTTCCAATTTTCTCATATGTAATTGGATTCAAATTTAAGTTTGTACAAAGACGTTTTCAAAACTTAATCACCGGACTAAAAAAAATTAACGTCATATACTAGTTATATCTTACTTAGAGCATCTGACTTCATTAACCTTTAGGAGCCTAATAAGTTTCTTGCGATCTTTATATCTTTCCAATTGAGTCGTGATCCATCGGCCTACATTCTTCTGATGAATACTGACCTAATTGGGCTGAATTTGGATTTGGACTTTATAGGCAGAAGCCTATGTTGACCTTCCCACCAAAATTCCAATTTTTCCCCATTTGACTTTTTAAATTGAAGTCAATGAAAAGAAAGTAAGTATATATTTTTCAAAAACAATTTTGCATTCAGATAAAATGTTCTAATGAATAAAATTATAAAATCGTAACAAAATTGTCAAATGTGAAATAGGTATGAGGCAATTCATAAATCTAAGCAAGTAGAGAGAAAAGAAAAAAGCAAAAGCGTATAGTGAGATTTCGAAGAAGTCAACGCCTTAAATAACTTTATAGAGAAGAAGTGGCAAGATGAGACTGATACGGATCACGAAATTCGAAGCCGACCACGTTCTTAATTTTATTTTACCAAATTTATATTTGACTCTAATCACCCAACTTTCAATTTTGCAAGCTATATGTGTAACTTTTAAATTAAGGAAAAAAAAAACACTTTATATCAACATTACTGGCCACACGTTAGGCTTAGATCCACCACTTTTTGCTTCCTACTAAATATCATTTAGTAACAAAACCTTTCAAGTTGAACTAATTTGACCTTTATATATATATTGTTGAAAGATTGTAGGAAATAAATATGATGATTCATGATTCTATCGGAATCAGAATTAAATTACTGAATTATAATAAAAAAGGAAACATTTTAGTTTATTATACGTACGAACATATTTAACAATTTCACAATTTATACATTACCATAGTGAATTATTTAACTCTGAAAACTCGAATTTCATTTTCAGGTTATGGACTTTTGAAAATTTAGATGTAGAAAATCTTTTGATCTATTGAGTACTGACCAACTATTAGGCTGAATGCACTTTTTAATACTCACTTATTTATTATTAACTAGATGAACTAGTATCACTCTATATATAAACAAAAAGGATTATTCACGATGTAATCAGATTCTATGTAACGGACATATTGATACTAAAATCTACTATGATATTAACATTATTATATAAAATAAATGAATAGAGAATTGCATGATAAATGGCGTGAAAATAGTGAAGCACTACACTTGCTTCGTTTACAAACTCTGCTTTTGAACCTCACGTTCCTTAAGCTTCTCTAATAAAGCTCTTCTTTTGATTCCCCCATACAACAAAAAAATCCAAATACGTTTCTTTTAAGGTAAAAAAAAATATTTCGTTTTTTTATTTAATTTCTTTCTTCTTCCTCCTCTGTTTTCAACATTCTCTCTAGCTATTAGCTTCATTAAACAAGAAAGATGAAATATTCTCCAAGATCGGACGGTAGAAAATTCATCATCCCTTCTTTCTTCTTTATCATAGCTCTTTGTGTATTAGCTTTCATCAACGAGATCAGATTCGACAGTTTATTGAGTTTTGGACGTTGTGCTTTGTCGAATATTCCGATCAATAACGGATCATCTTCGTCGGAGACTCCATTGTTG